AGTCCTCATAAGCGTCCAAGACCTGAGATTTCCTGACAAAAACCGCTGGACAAAACCACAGCTCCTTTTCGACGAAAATGGTGACGTTAGGGGTGACGTGGCGAGATTAAAAGGCTTTATACTAGCTACCGGAAGTGCGTTAGGAAGGTTGGAAACCTTGAATGAAAAAATTGCGTTAGAAAAACGCGCCGAGGGGCTGCAAGAAACGTTGGAAGAAAGGGAAGCAGAATACATGAAACAAAACCGACTACTTCTCGATGCTCAAAAAAGAGAACTTGACAAAAATCAAAGAATGATAGAAATGAGAGAACAAAGAGACAATGCCCTGCGCGATAGGGACCAAGCCCAAAAGGGCTTCAATCTCGCCCTGCAAGACCTGGATATAAGCAAGGAAGAAGCTAAAAACTTGCATATCACCATAGCCGGCTCTTTGGAGGAACGGCGGCAGTTGGTTGCCGAAATCAACACTAAAGAAGAGCAAATCCGGCAAATGAGTCAGGCTATTGAAGACCTGGAGGGGCAAATAGAGCGGCAGCAGGAAACAATCAATGACCAAACTCGTCCCGAAGAGGAAAGGGAGGCAGCCCAAAGGGAAGTAGAAACCCTCGAGGTACGCCTTGCGGAATTACAGGCACAAAAGGAAAACCTGGAAAAGGAGTTGGGGCTTACCACCAAGGAAAAGGTAAAAAGAGCTCTGGTGAAATATGGTATTCCGCTGGCGTTTGCGGTCGCTATTTCAAGCGTAGTAGGGGTAATCCTATCCGCTCTTAAGGCTACGGGCGCAGGCATAAAGAAATTAGGCAATGGTTTGACGGACTTGGGAAAAAAGATGGCAGCCGGCTTGCCTGGGCTGCTTGGTAGTGTTCTTGGCCTGGCACTTAGGGCCGGCGGAGAACTGTTGAAGTTCGTGGGGAATAACATTTGGATATTAGTCGTAGCTATTGGGGTGGTCCTCCTGAAGAAGATGAAGGGTTAATCTTGTCCTTGTGTATTACTCGAGGCTTATCTTGAGGCATTCTCGACTGGGGATAAGTAAAGATAGTATTCGCGCCGCCTTGGTAATTTGGTATCAGAGGCATAGCAGTCATGGTGCTAATGGGCTTATGACTCCAAGTAGCATCTGCAGGAGAATCATACGTAGAATAAGCGGCGTTTATCCCAACAAAGCCGGCATACTTAGGATTTGCGTTAAGGGCATCGCTGGGACGAACTTGAAGCTTTGCATATTGACAATTAGCTATCATATGAAAAGTCACCGACGTTAGGTTCTCCGCGCTTTTCGTTGGGGGCTCAAATGAGAAATGAGCCGAATGCCGGGCCTTATATTTTTTCCTGTAAGGTAGCAATGGGTYGTTGGTCTCATCAACTAGCCTAAACCCCACATTGCAGCTATTCCAGCCACTAATGCTAATGGTACACATAATCAATCCCAAACCACCAACTTCTGCCCACAGGTCAGTATCATACCATTTGTCCCCATAGTGTTTCTTATCTTCTAAGTAATAGGAAAACCAATCCTCCTTTGTG